TTTATATTATGAATTTAATTTAGTATAATGTTAAAACTAAAGTTTTAGGTTACAATGCAAATATCTAAAGCTGAATATATGTGTTCATAATATGTTGTCTTATTAGTCATAAAAAAGTGATGATAATATAGTTGACACAAAGAATGAGGCTAAGCTTTCCATTGATGCCGTCGAGTTGGGGGTTTTTTTATAGAAAGGCTCAGATGTAGTAAAAAAGGTAGATATCGCAACTAGAACAAGAAACTGTAATTAATTTTATAACTTTGTGTGAGTTAGAGAAGTGTTGTCACTTTTTTTTAAAAGTCCCTGAAAATCGAGATACAATACTACAACTATAAGAGTAATGTGCGATGCAAATGTGAAAGTATATCTGTTTTAATACATTTCAATAATTTGACAATTCAAATAAAGATGAAGGATGTAGGAGGCGTCTAGATCATTTAAAAATTTTCTTGATGAATTGTCCAGTGAGCATGTAAGCATCGATAAAATATACAACATATGTAATGTATAACATATTTATTGTAAAAAATAACTTAATACTAAAAAAAACTAGTTGGAATAAAAAATAAATTTCCATGGAATTAAAAATATACTTTTCGAAATGAAAAAAAAAGTATATTTTGTAAATGCAAAATAGAACAACTCCAGGAGGGCACAAAGAAGTGTTCCAATTTGTACCCCGGGTAGGAGTGATATGAAGAGACAGAGACATGTCTCCGGGTGGTAGTGGTCAGCATTAAGATTGGAATGAAGTGTCCTAATGTTGCAAAAATTCACGGCTTGCTCCTAGCAGTTTTAGTCGCGAGCAGAATTCCCAATCCAGAAGTGGATGCTCAGCGAGGGATTCTCCGTCACCAGGAGTGAGGGTACCCTCTTGGGGTAGTTTTTATTTGATTCCGCTACAATGTTAAGGGGGAGGAGGATTTGGGCCTCCAGCCCAAGTGAAACGCAGAGGCAAACCTCTACTTCACGTAGGTATTCTGTGACGTCGTGGTACCACCCCGGTTCAAGCTGGCCCATCCATGCAACATCAATAGCCGCTGCGTGGCTCTACCACTGTCAAGTCAAGAGGATGGCTGTCATTTTGGTTTATTTCAGCTCAGTCTTATAGCACCTACCCTTCATTTTTTTATAGGATAGGGTGACAAACGAGCATACAGTCCACTTGATGGTAAGTGGTTGCTGTGACCCATAGACATCTACATATATCCTCAATTACGAATCAAAATGCAGATGCGTTGTCACCCGTGAGGACTAAGATGGAATGCCTCATTTCCAGTAAAAAGGGTCTCCGATCCTCTACACTCACCATACGAAACAGCAGCATTAAGCTACTATTTTACGCTGGTATTCTGTGAGAGTGTGGTCATTCCCCGGTCGAGCCGACCTATTCGTGCTATAACTGTACTACTAATCGTATAACTGCAGCATCGCTATACCACGTAAACAATTCATGTCTTATTAAAATATTCGTTGGTAGCCTAAATTCATAAACATTTTTTGATAGTAAAATAGTTTTTAAGTACTCAACAATTAAAACAGAAACATCAACGACTTAAAAACTTAAATATTTACCTTGACTTGAATTTGATGTAATTTAACCTCCTAGGACCTGGCGTCCGGGGCGCGCTGGATGCCGTGTAGTGGCGGTTGAGAATATCCACTACCCCATATCTTCCCGTGGGTGTCGTAAGAGGCGACAGAGGGAGACAGGCAGGAGATGGGCAGCAGCATCTTTCTGACAACTGTGTTATAATAAAAAACTGCGGTTGCCAACCCGCTCGCCAAGCGTGGCAACTATGGCAAATATCACCCCATGAATAACGATGCAAAAAAACGGCCCCCAGTCCCCGGCGGCCCCGCTATTCCTGGCTACGGTGGCGACCGTGGTAACGGCGAGGCAGGGGGTGCTAAGAATCTCCGGTGGAGGTTCGGTTGCCACCTACGACGACTCGACCTGGCAACATATAACGCACGCACTCTGAGGACTGACGAGAAGATACTGGAGCTGGAAGAAGAGGTATACAAGTTGCGCTGGCATATTATTGGATTATCCGAGGTCCGAAGAGAGGGGGAGGATACGACAATCCTCGAGTCCGGCAACTTGTTCTACCACCGGGAGGGCGACCATCTGTCCCAAGGAGGTGTCGGATTTATCGTCCACAAGTCTCTCGTCAACAACGTTGTAAAGATTGGGAGTGTGTCGACGAGGGTCGCGTACCTGATACTCAGAATCACCAAACGGTATTCGCTGAAGGTCATACAGGTTTACGCACCAACCTCGGCACATCCCGATGAGGAGGTGGAGGAAATGTATGAGGATATTTCCAGAGCCATGTATTCCTCCAAAACCCACTACACGGTGTTGATGAGAGACTTCAACACAAAACTAGGCACAAGAGAAAGCGGTGAGCTGAAGGTGGGGAAATTTGGAGTAGGGAAACGGAACCGAAGGGGCCAGCAGCTGGCCGACTTTATGGAGAAAGAGGGACTCTTTATGATGAACTCTTTCTTCCAGAAGCGGCCCCACAGGAAGTGGACCTGGTCGAGCCCCGACGGTTCGACAAAAAATGAGATTGACTTCATTATGACGACCAGACGCCAACTGTTCAGTGATGTCTCAGTGATCGCAAGGGTGAAAACGGGCAGCGATCACCGAATGGTTGATCGAATGGCACACTGAACCTAAATGTTAAGTTGGAGAGGTCTCGTTTAATGAAGTCAACGCTCCGTCCCCCTCGTGCTCTAATCCAGAATCCCGAAACCTTTCAGCTCGAGCTACAAAACCGCTTTCAGTGCCTAGAGGATTGCAATGCAGTGGACGATATGAATGACAAGCTCGTGGAAACCGTCCATGCGGTCGGAGCTAAGTTCTGCAAGACCCGCCGCAGAAGAACACAAAAACTCTCCGATCACACTCTTAATCTCATGGCTGTTAGACGGGAGATGAGGCTGCAATTGTCAACAGATTTGACAGCATACAGGCAACTGAACAGACAGATCTCCGAATGCATGCGGCGAGACTTACGCAACTTTAATAATGCTCGTATTAAAGAAGCGATCGAGCGGAACCAAGGCTCCAAAGTCTTTGCCAGAGATCTGTCTGCCAGAAAGAGTCAACTGTCAAGGCTGAAGACTGAGTGTGGCAACATCGTTTCCGGGACACCTGAGATTCTGAGTGAGATTGAGAGGTTCTATGGGCAGCTGTACACATCATCGTTGGAGCCACACGCAAGTGTGAGTAACGATCCAAGAGCAAGTCTTATCCGACACTATTCCGATGATATCCCGGACGTCAGTCTGAGCGAGATTAGAATGGCTCTCCACCACCTTAAAAACGGCAAGGCTCAGGGCGAGGATGGAATTACAGCGGAGCTTCTGAAAGCGGGTGGAACACCGGTACTTGAAGTCCTTCAGAAGCTCTTCAATTCCGTCCTCCATGGTGGCACTACTCCGGAGGCGTGGAGCAGAAGCGCGGTGGTCTTGTTCTTTAAGAAAGGCGACAACGCTCTCTTGAAGAACTACAGACCGATTTCCCTTCTGAGCTGCGTCTACGTGCTGTTTTCGAGAGTCATTACGAATCGTCTCGCACGCAGACTCGACGACTTCCAGCCTCCCGAACAAGCCGGTTTCCGAAAAGGCTTCAGTACCATAAACCACATACATACCCTTCGGCAAATTGTACAGAATTCCGAAGAGTACAATTTGCCACTTTGCCTGGCGTATGTGGACTATGAGAAAGCCTTTGATTCCGTCGAAATTTGGGCGGTGCTACAGTCTCTTCAGCGGTGCCTAGTTGACTGTCGTTATATTGAAGTGCTGAAGTGTTTGTACGGTAGGGCTACGATGGCTATCCGAGTACAGAACCAGAGTACGAAACCTATCCAACTGCAGAGAGGTGTAAGGCAGGGTGATGTTATATCCCCGAAACTCTTCACCGCTGCGTTGGAAGACGTTTTCAAGCTACTGGACTGGAAAGGATACGGTACTAACATCAATGGCGAGTACATCACTCACCTTCGATTTGCCGACGATATAGTCCTTATGGCAGAATCGCTGGAGGACCTTAGCACTATGCTCAATGACCTTAATGGTGTCTCCCAACGGATAGGTCTTAAGATGAACATGGACAAAACAAAGATCATGTTTAATGTCCATGTCACACCTATGCCGGTAGTTGTTGGGAGCACTATGCTCGAAGTTGTTGACGAGTACGTTTACCTGGGACAAATAGTCCGACTAGGTAAGTCCAACTTCGACCGAGAGGTGAATCGACGGATTCAACTCGGCTGGGCAGCGTTCGGAAAATTACGACACATCTTCTCGTCAGGTATACCTCAATCTCTGAAAACTAAAGTGTATAACTAGTGCGTGTTGCCAGTGATGACTTACAGATCTGAGACGTGGTCCTTCACCGCTGGCCGTATGAGGACGCTCAAGGTCGCTCAGCGAGCTATGGAGAGGGCTATGCTCGGAGTTTCACTGCGTGATAGACTCATAAATGAGGATATCCGCAGTGAAACCAGAGTGACCGACATAGCCCAACGGATTAGTAAGCTGAAGTGGCAATGGGCCGGCCATATAGCTCGAAGAACCGATAACCGATGGGGAAGAAAGGTTCTCGAGTGGCAGCTTCGTACCGGTAGGCGTAGTGTAGGGCGACCCCCCACTAGATGGAGTGACGACCTGGTAAGACATGCAGGAAGTCGATGGATGCAGGTGGCTCAGGACCGTGCTTTGTGGCATTACTTGGGGGAGGCCTATGTTCAGCAGTGGACTTGTGAAGGGCTGTAATGATGATGATGACCTGGCGTCCCCTATACGAGACCTTTTTTCTAGTACTGCCCTCCAGCGCCTATCAAAGTGTAACTTCCTAATTATTAGTACATTTATTTCAATGTAGATGTCACTTATTGAAAAAAAAATAACCATGTTTGGCGCTCATTTTTGTAAACTTTTGACAGCTTGAAGTTAGTGGTTGAAAATTTCTGCAAAAAATGGCTGCCCAAGGTAAGTTTTTAATTGATTTTGTTGAAAGTAACCCATTTTCGTTTAAAAACGAATGTACTTATTTCTTCATTTTTAAAGTATGTAAGATAAAAATAAGATATTGCTTTCAAATTTCCGCAAATATTTTAGCGAGTATCGCGTCAAGTACATGATTGTCCCGTAGAGGGGACATGGGGTTTCAGACTTAATATTTTTATAGGTATTTTAATTGTTTTCATCCGATCGTTTTATTCATTTACTTGTTTTGTATTGCAGTCCATATGACGGATAGCGACATAGCAAGAATTTTAGAGTTCGATGGCAATGATTCTACCGTTGAAGGCCTTTCTGACGATGACTTCGAAGGCAGTCAAGATCTTGAACCACGCCTGGAAGAGCTGGAGGATGAAGGTTCAAACGACGACTCGAGCGATGATGACGTACGATTGGCTGCTGTTGCTGCTCGTCAGACTTCAAGTCGTCGACTATATTTCAAGCATGAAAATGATTTCACTCCATATCCACCAGGCATGTACTGTCAACCTTTAGCTGCAAGTCGCGTTAATTTGTTACAAGAACCAATTGAATATTTTTTGAGATATATTCCTGAAGTAATGTTTGAAATAATAAGTAATTATTCAAACCAGACATACTTATTGAAGAAAGGTCAAAATCTGAACACAACTAAGGAAGAAATTAAATTGTTTTTTGGCATATCTATAGCTATGAGTTATTTGGGCTTGCCAAGGATTAGAATGTATTGGGCAAACAGGACAAGGGTTGCAATGATAGCAGACCGCATGACTAGAGACCGTTATTTTAAAATTCGGACAAATTTGAAACTTGTAAATGATCTTGAGGTGGATGAAGCATCCAAGCAAAATAAATTCTGGAAAGTTAACCCTTTGATCAAAACTGTGAGAAAAGCTTGCCTAGAAACTCCCAGATCTCAACATATTAGTGTAGATGAGCAGATGATACCATTTTGGGGTCAAGTATCAATGCGGCAGTTCATAAGAGGAAAACCAAACCCCTGTGGTTTAAAAAATTTCGTGTGCACTACTCCAGATGGTGTGCCTTTAGACTTCTTCATGTATGAGGGCAAAGGAGATACAATACTCACAACCAATGAAGCTGAAGGTCTTGATATTGGCGGAAAAGTTGTGCTGAAGTTATCTGAAACTTTGCCTGAAGGAGTAAGTTATTCATGGACAGATACTTTACATCATTGGATTTACTGGACAAATTACGTTCAAAGAAGATGCAGGCAACAGGTACTCTTAGAAAGGCAAACATACCTAAAAACTGCAATTTCAAAACTGACAATGAGTTGAGAAAACAAGGACGTGGTTCTTCGGATCAACTCGTTCGCAGTGACGGTAATGTGGCATGTCTAAAGTGGTTTGATAACAAACCAGTAATAATGGCATCATCTGTTGATTCCAAAGAACCCATCAACAAATGCAGACGTTGGTGTAAAAAAACTAAACAGTATATCCAAATTGACAGACCATTTGCAATAGAGCAATATAATACCATGATAGGCGGTGTAGATATGTTGGACAGGGTCATCAGTTTTTACAGAATTAGAGCATGTTCCAAAAAATGGACTGTTCGTCTGATTTTCCACTTCTTTGATTTTGCGGCAGCTGCTGGATGGCTTGTATACAGGAATGAAGCTAAATTGTTAGAATGCCCTAAAAAAACATTTTGGACTACTTGGAGTTCAAAGTGCAAATTGCAAATTCATTACTTTATTTTACACCAGCGAGGGAACAGATACACATAATTCATGAAGTAGATTCAGACGACTCAACAGAAGAAGCACAACCTTGGAGCCGTAAAAGAATATATATACCTCAACCTCCAGTTCAACTGAGGACAGCCATGGCCGGTCATTTGCCATTGATTGATGAACAAAATGACAATCACAGATGCCGAATGCCAGGATGTAAAAGCAAGAAAGCTAGAGTGTTTTGCTCTACTTGTAACATGCATTTATGCCTTGTAGTAGGACGAAATTGCTACAAACGCTATCATGAATCTGTCTAAGTAACTAACGTTTTTGTTTAAATAAACGTTTTAATTCATATTTTTCGTTTTGATTACAGTATTAGAAAATTGACATGTTAAAACCCAGAGTCCTGTATAGGAGACGTACAATTAAAAAAAAAACTAATAACTTATAATTTTTTTAAATATTTTTTTTTTCATTTAGGGGTCTATAATTCTGCGTTTAAAATTTTATTTCATTACCAAACACAAAGTGGTCTCGGGTCTGAGGAGAATAAACTTAACCTAAAATTAATTACCCAAATCTTGGACCATTAGAAATAAGAAATACTGGCAACATTCTCCCGTTACGTAACCTCGAAGCATTGACATTCGTGCTTCGAATAACCTTCAAAATTGTGTTGGAATAACAAATTAAAATATAGTTAAATGAGTGTTTACGAGTGAAACGATATTGCTTCAGACTTTTTGTTCACTTTAGTATTGTTTTTGCACACGTTTAACTACATAGGACAGCATTTTGTAGGCAAATTATCTGCACGACGCCCCAGGAAGTACCACAGAATACATTTACCCTGACGGGGGAAGTACTGAGCTAAAATGAGCGTAGTTTGATGCATATGTTGCGTGAACGCGTGAGCTTACATAAAGGAGCGGAGTTTTTTATCTTCACCAATAACAAAGTCCGTACTGTATCTACCTTTTTTACTTCATCTGAGCAGAAAGGTGACATTATTGTAAGCACACAGGCAAGGTTTCAATATGCGGAGACGCGTACTTTTTGAGAAAAAAAATTGAAAATCAATTATTTTTGCAATATTTATATCAATCCCTACCACAGATTATATCGTATTACAGATATATCTCTCCATTATAACAGAATGATTTTCATTACGAGCTATTAAAATTAAAATGTGCAGTGTTTACAACATAGAGTATAGAGGTAAGGAGGACAATTTCTCATAGGAGAATAGTTGATAATGTGTCCATCAGTAACTGTAAATAACAGTTCAAACACTCTCCACAACAGCGCTCGAGTAGCTACAGGGTATGATAAATCACCGTAAAATACGTTGAGTGATTTTGAAAAGGTGAAAATCTGTGCAATAAAAGAATTATAAAAAGTTCTTTAAAATTTAGACTGTAGCTACAGTGGCGCCACCCTTATTTAACGCTTTCCTACGGACACTTTTTTTGCTGATGGACCAGGCACAGTCAAGGATATTTTTGATCGACATTACCATTCCGTAAGACGAGAACCTCGTGAAAGCCGAAACAGATAAACGGACAAAATATCTGGACCTGGCTCACGAGGAGACCGACATGTGGAATGGTATGCCGACCGAAATTATTCCTGTAGTCTCTGCGAATGGGCTAATCCTAGTCAGCCTCTCGGGTCATTTGAGGCGACTGAGACTCCGTGACGGACCGCTCCGGGCTCAAATGCAGAAGGCGGTGCTCCTCGATACCGCCCGCATCGTCCGCCGGTTTCTTTCCCTTTCCCTCTAACCCCCGGCCGTTTGGTCTCCCCTGCCGAGGGCTCCCATCTGGTTGGATCTTATTTATTTAAGTAGTTTTTGTATTTTATTTTATTGATATTTATGTATATTTCAATAAAATCTATCTTTTCATTTTAATTTATAATTATATATTTATAGAACCCAACAAGGTGAGAAAATTATATAGATACCCCAATTTATATAAATGATAATAATAATTTCGTTCTTTTCTTTTTTATTCTTTGAATGAAATAATCATTTCAAATTGGCGGACAACAGCCCGCTTTTATTGAGACAACTTAGCTATCGCAGCGCCTCACTTATTTTGTCCATATTTCTGGGACACTTATTTTCTACAGCAATCGTTCTCCTGTTCTCTAACCTCCACCATGGCATGGAGCATGGAGGTTAGAGAACAGGAGAATGATCGATACGTGCTATAGCACAACCCGCCTGTCCCTGAAAAATTGTAGAATTTATAGGCGCGATGCCGTCGGTAAGTATCTAGTATCTGCAGAGAAGTTTTATAATTATTGACAAAAGGAAACATTATAAAACATAATAATTTATAATATTTATAATGATAAAAAATAGAAAACATAATTTATTTATTAGTAAATAATAATAATAATAATAATAATTTAGTTATTTTCTTCGAATGATATTATAATTATTTCAAACTAGCGCATAACAGCCCACTTTTATTAGGACAACTTAGTGATCGTAGCGCCACACTTATTTTGACACAATAAAGTTAAAGCTTGACAAAATAAGTGTTGCTTTTAATGGGGAGCACCGCACTTAGTAAAATGGATACATTGACTGTAGTCAACCAGATCTAAGAAATAACTTTTGACGTTTTACATTAATCATGCCGCAATAACTTTGCACAAGCGTTCTCGCACGATTTAAAATAACCGTTTACCTGAATCCAAAGAAATATAAAGTTATCTATTTTTCATTACAATGTGTATAGTTTTTTATCACTATTTTAAATGATGGCTAAAGAGTTGGGCTGTTCCTTGAACCCAGATCGACTGCAAACTTTCTTGATTGACTGTACTGTTTTTTCTTGATCTTTGCCACATGCTTAAATTAGTACGCAATTTATTTCACCATTATGGAAGTTTTTTTTTCGAAACTAAAATCAAATTCAGTGGTCATAAATCCAAAAATTACAGGAAGAAGAATTATTTTATATTGCTATAGTCAACCAAATCTAAGAAATACATTTTGACGATTCACATTACTGTACGCTCTGACAGCGCGCGACATGTTCATTCCGCAATAACTTTGCACAAACGTATTCACACGATTTAAATTATCCTTTTACGTAAATCCGAAGAATTACGATGTTATCTATATTTCATTACAATGTGTATAGTTTTTTATCACTAATTTAAATTGGAATCTTTCAAACAAAGCAAAATATTAAAAAAATAACCAGTATCAACTTTTTACTCGACGTCGTTTGAATGATATGTCGCTATGTAGCTTACCATAGTGTTTGGATGACTTAAATTCATTGTTATGCGAATAATCGGCAAAAAAATTCAAATAATCGGTAAAAATATTCAAATAATCGAATCATAATTATTTGAAATGTATTATTTGTTTAATAAAATTTTTATTTTTAAAATTCTTTAAATCACTTGAATCATGAATAAAAGAAGTTTATTTTTTTACTTTGTCAGCGTAAAGAAAAAAATAAACTTCTTTTTAGATTTGATTTTGGGCCCACTAGACATTTTAACGTAACTTAGTGGTATTACATCAAAAAAGATTTTATAAAAATCTAACCGGAATCATGAAATCTGAAAATTAAATTGTTTTGATATTCTTGTACTGTGTAATGTAAATATATTGAATAATAAAAGATAAATAATTTTGAAAATGATAACTTACCTATACATGTATTATGTATTATGTATTTGTATATTATATATTTATTACTAAAAAGATATTTTACTAAAAACTTGTTTTTAATCCAATTTTTAAAAATTAATAGTAATATCATGTAATACGGTTCAAAATGACCGTAGAATGAAACGTATACATACGCCTATCTATTGTGTGTATAATATATTTCTTAGATTTGGTTGACTATAGTTCGGCCGTTCAGAGAATGCGTTCCTGACACGACGTGATTGAACTGACGACGTAACTTTGTAATGGCGTTGCAGTTACGATAAAAATATTTTAACTGGTTGTTTACCGTTTTAACAATTGATGAGCATTAAAACAACATTATTATATCAATAATCAATGAATGTTATAATTTTGTGCCAAACTGTGTGTCAAATAACTTGGTAACCACAATATTTTTCTAAATCTATACTGCGCTATTACAAGGTTATGTCAGCGCTTTATATTTGTAGTGCTGTGCTAACAATAACAGGCAATAACAGTATCGTAATCTGTTCTTATACAGTTATAGTTTATAAAATAAAACGTTTTGTTTTTCTTTTAAGAATTTGAAAATAATGGACTATAAGATAACTTTTATTAAATATAAAAATAAAACTACGACCAAACCGAACGCGCGAAAGAAAGTAGCATTTTTATATTTAGGTTGAAAATGGTAACCCCAAATGGCGTTATGGGCCGCCATTTTGTGATGCTAAAACAGTCGTCTGTTGTCGTTTTGTGCGCACAGACCAAGTTCTTCAAGTGTTTTCGATCTGTTTTTATTTGATTATCCGGCTTTCGTTTAATGGACTGTTTCTGATTTTTAAACTGACATCGGCGCTAAATTGGACTTCGATTGTGTTTTGTATTGCGTTATTTTTACTTTTGGTGCATAATAATGCCTAAACGTGGACAAACATTGAAAAGTGGAGCCCGTGAGTTAATTATCAAGCTGCAAGATTACTTTGAGCGGGAGCGGCAAAATGGCGGACCACTGTTACCTCTTGAACAAGTCTCTCAGGCGCTTGGAGTTAGCAAACGAATGATAACAAATATTAATAAAGAAAAGTTCGGCTCTACTGGCACGGAAGATAATATTTTACGTACTCCGAAGAAGAAACGTAGAACTAAACCCGTGACAGATATTGACACCTTTGACGCCGATGCAATCAGAAATCATATATATGGTTACTATTCCAGAAATGAATATCTCAACAGAAAGAAGCTTTTGGCATCATTAAGTTAAGCTGGACTGTTTAGTGGGGGTAAAACTGCTTTAACCCTAATCTTAAAAGATATTGGTTTTTCGTATAAAAAACAGACAAAAGAAAAATTTTATTAGAACGATACGACATAATTTTAAAACGGA